AAAAATTTTATTTTTAATTAACTGATTATAAAAGCATTCATAAGAGAACCACATAAAAGATATCATTCCGTAAATCAATATATCATGTCTGAAAACCCAAGTCATAAAATAGCATCATGTCAGAGTACAATCCCAGAATATCTCAAGTGCGGAAATCAATGTGAGTGTGTATGATGTGCTGCTACCGCGCCAGCTCCTTCCCCTTCGCTGAAGAGGTACCTGAAACCAAAACTATAAACTGTAAGCACGAAGCTTAGTGAGTTCCCCTATCGTACCGCATACCATACAATCACATAACATACATATACTGTCAGGCGTATCTGGGTGCCCGACCTACCCCTTCGATCCTCTCGACCGGATACTGCCTAGCATATCTGGGTGCTGGCCTCCCCTTCGGTCCTCTCGACCGGATACTGCCTAGCATACCTGGGTGCTGGCCTCCCCTTCGGTCCTCTCGATCGGACACGGGGGACTATTTCACCCCACTACTACTACCACATAACATGTAACACATAATCATATTCCATCTAGCATGACTGGGTATGACTACCCCCCTTCCGCCCTATCGACCGGAAACCTTGGGGACTACCTCCCCTACTGCTAACATCATATCATACTAGCACATAACATAACAGGTAGTAGCAAACCTAGATGAATATCACAAAGACAATCATCTATCATACAACTCCTACAGGTGGGCTGGCATTGTGGTCGTAGACCCACCGCTACTGGAAGGTAACTCACCTCGTACGAGTAACTGCTGATAATCTGTGCGGGAAATCTTTGTCTGCTGCTGCTCCGGAAATCCTCCGGCTATAATCCCCACAAAACACTCAGTCAGAAACTGATATCTACTCTTGGGGTAAAATGACTATTTTACCCCCGATCAAGTCCAAGTCAAAGTCAACTTCCAGTTGACCTGACTCGCCGAGTTGGGCCGCCAACTCGTCGAGTCCCTAACCTTTTAACTGTCCTCATCCACGTCTCTACTCGTCGAGTTTAGAAATGAATCGACTCGACGAGTTCTCCTTCTATACGAGCATCGAATGAACCTTCATCCAAATCGTCGAGTTGTATGAACAACTCGTCGAGTTCATCCTCATCCTAAAAACCAGTCCTGTCCTCGACTCGCCGAGTTGTATGAACAACTCTTCGATTTCATCTTCAAGAGTTGGGAGATTGCCTTGGACTCGTCGAGTCTGTTCATGCACTCGCCGAGTCCTATGAACTCCATGACTATGGCTTATCCCAAAACGTTAGGTTACTCCTCCGGACCCTCTAACACCTTTCCAGCACTCCACTGGGTCTCCTTGACCCATAACAGAAAATGGGAGTCTACCCTCGGACTCGCCGAGTCCCAAGAATGACTCGCCGAGTCGATACGGTCCAAGCCTTATTTCTTCAATTTCTGGTGTACAACTCTTGTCCAAATGATAGATCTAGGTCCCTAAACTCGATCTAGCACGTAAAGTTACGAACTTTACGGGCATGCATGGGACTTTGAGTCAAAAAGACTCTAAAAGAGACTCTTGGGTTGCATGGGGGCTTCCATGGGTGCAAAAGCAACCCTTTTCTGCCTTGTAACTCCTTCATGGACCTAGATCTGAAGCCTCAACCCCCAACCATGCTTGCAATCATGGTTGGTTACCAAGAATGGCTTATAAAATCCCTAAATCTCCCCAAAAAGGGATCTAGCAAAAGAACAAGCAATGCATCGACTTATACCTTCTGTGAACTGCAAATGGTGCACAAACTTGAACTCCCTTGGTCTCCTCTTGATTTCTCTAGGCCCTTCCTTCTTCCTTGTGATCAAGACCACCAAGAATCACCACAAATGCCTTTAGATCTTCACACACACAGTTAGGGTTTGTTATGGGGGGTTTCTGGAAGCAATAGGGACGAAGGGTGGCTGAATGAGACGTTTAAATAGGGTGCAAACCCTTAGATTAGGGTTTTGTCCAGTCAGAGCCTACTCGTCAAGTCTGCAGCTGACTCGACGAGTCCGTCATTTAAATCCCGAATCAAATCCGTTTCTACTCGACGAGTTGGTCCTTCAACTCGCCGAGTCCCAGGCCAAAAATGCAAATTACTTAAATAAAATACGTACCAGGAACCAGGTGCTACACTTCGACCCACAAGTACAGTGAGGACAACTCATCTCTCAGTCCGAACAATAGATGAATAAATCTCTGCTCTGAATATCGGCTCTACCCGTCACCTATTAATTAGATCATGGCCAAACTTAACATATAATCAAAATAACCAAAATACCCTTAGGTAAAAATTGGTCAAACCGTGGTCAAGTTCAAACGTCAACAAATCAACCGAGTCAACTCAGCTGAGTACGTTGGGCGTACTCAGCTGTACGCGAGGTGTACTCAGGCTTGACCATGCAATCAAGGCATTGACCTCGTACGCGCAACGTACCATTTGGTACGCCCATCGTACACGCTTGGCCACCTCTCCTTCTTATTAAGAGCTTAATCCTTAAGCTATTTTGCTCATATTCCAGATCTAGACTTCAACTCACGTCCTTAACCATAAAGTTTCTAAGTTTATGGTATAACATGGCTAGAAAGTGCCCAATAACAAAAACCCTAACTACTTAACCCATTAAGACCTTGTAACCCATGCATGAAGGGAAACTAACAATCAAGATTACATTTTTATGCTTCTAAATGCTCCAAAACGTCTGAAAGGACAACTTATATGGATTAGAGTAATCCATACTCATAATACCAAGCTTATGGGGCTAAAAGAACACCATTTCATGACTAAACAAGATCTAATCAACACTTAACCAAGTCTAGAGCTTTTTACCTCCAAATTATGCAAAATGATGATTTAATTCTGGATCCAAAGTGTCCTACTTCTCCAAGATAATCTTCTCTTCTTCCTTCCTCCTTCAAGGTCACCAAGATACACTCAAAGGCTCACAAATGCTCTCAAATGGATTAGGATTTGCAAAAAGGGTCGAAATGAGGTTGGAGGCCGATGGAAGGGACGAGACTTGGGACTTTAGGATGTTTAAATAGGGTCCAAACCCTAAAAATTAGTGTTTGAGGTTTTGACACGTACGCCCAGCGTACGTAAGCTCCGCCCAATATTTACAAAAATGCCAATATGGGCCATTGTGCAACACTTCTCATACACAAGGGCTAAAATGCAAATAATCTTCATACGTAGGGTTAAAATTAGAAATACCTCATAATCCAAGATGTTACACCATACACTAATGTTGTTAGCCATAGTGTTGTTAACAACAAAAGACTAATCCCACATGGTTTAACCACTAATACCTTTGCTTATTGCTTACTTGACCCTCATTTCCCTATAAAAGGGCTAGAAAACTATGAAGAATGAACCATCAAGCTTAAAAAACTCAACATGGGTAAAAAATAACATAATTTTTAGAAAAGCCTCAAAATTTTAATCAATTAATGAAAAAGACGGAATACTGGTTAAATCTGTGAAACCGGCCACGAAAGGTTATTCCAAAGTTTTTGCCGACAATTTGTCCTAATATTTACTGATATTCAAATATATAATGTTTACATTGTCCTTAAATAGTGATGAACCAAGATGGTGGTCCACTATCGAATCAGAGTCACGTATGCCGATACATTTCACCTAATCAACAAAAAACCTTCTTATGATACTCTGCATTTGTAGATTCTCGTCATGAAGATCATGATGGATCAGAGGATAATGGTCTTGCTCGATCCGAGGATGGTATTTATTGAATGACCTAATGATATAGACCGTAATGTACCCGATGATAACACTGAAGGTCCCAATAAAGATGGCTTTATGCTTTTATTTTTTATAATGGGGAATGCAATAGAGCATCTATCGTAAAACAAATAAAATCTATATACCATTAGGTGAAGCTCTACAATCTACACTTGTAGGCGTCATTACAGTGCATGACCTATGCTTCGTCTAATTTTAATCCCTTAAACACATATATAAAAAAATGGAATTAATAGCAAATGCTTTAAATTCAATTATTTTGAAACCTTTTAAGTCTTTCCAAAATAATTTACGAACCAAACTTCTCTCGGTAAATGATCTTTGGTCAAAGATCATCAAATGTTGTCCAAAATTTAAAATAAAGCCATCTTTAAAGTTTAAACAAAAATTACAAAACTGTTAAAAACACAAAATATAATGCCATTTTTATAAATAATCTTATCTAATTAATTTAAAAAAAATTACATATGCATACACACTATCCCCTATCAAGCATCAACGCAACGCTCTTCGGAAACCCACGCCCACTCACAACTTCACACTTGTAATAACCGCACGTGTCTCTGGCCCTCCCTGCGCCTCCAAAAGAAGCTTCCAAAAACACCCCAAACACACTTACGAGCCCTAATCTCTTTCGCCAACTACTAAGCTTCTTCGATCAATCTGATCTATCTGAATTTTACTAAAATTCAACTCTAAATTCCACTTCCGTATTTGATAATCAGGTTCGCATGCTGTTTTTTCTTTTTTTGTTTCATTATCGAATATTATTTACACCCATTCCATTGCTCGAAATTCGTATCCAGTTGACGTTTCTGGAATGGCATTCGATCACGACGTTTATGCCTTTGTTTGTAATTGTTACTTGTTAGTTTGATTGTGGCGTCGCTGATTTTTAGTTGATTGAATCTGGCACTCCCAATTTTATGATTTGTTTCCAGCTGTACTACTGTAGCACGATTAATGGAATTGGATAAGGAATTCGATTCAATGAAGTAACGTCAAGTTTTTTTGAGTTGATTCTTATGTAGATTTCGTGATTTTTTTTCCAGAAATTCGTAGGTCGGATTTGAATCAGCGACTCCAGTTGACTTTTATTCATCGAAGTCAAACAAACTGCAGAGTTCACGTTTTCTTCAGAAGTTCTTCGCGAGATGTGGTTGGTGAATTGTTTGGGTAAAAAGTTTATTTCTTCCAAACGAGTGAAGATGCTTTGATGATCGTGAGACATTAAAACACCTAAGAAAATGCCAGCAGTTCGGCATTGTTCTAGAATTGATACTTTCGATCTGAAACTTCAAATGGAAAGAAGACTCGGGTCACAAAAAGCTGACAAATACTTCAATCTTCTCACAAGATACATCAATCTGAAGCTCTCAAAATCAGAATTTGATAAGCTCTGCATACGTTTGATTGGAAGAGAGAATCTCCGTCATCACAATGAACTCATCAAGGCAATTATTAAAAACGCCACTCTTTCCAACACACCACCTCCAAAACAAGTCAAACCTGACATCCCGTTGACTTTGAAAGATCCTAACAACACCATTGATCCAAGAAGCAACCTTCAGTCTCTCTGTAGAGATGTATTCCCTCAATCCCCAAGAAAAGGAAGAACACCAGTTCATCGAGAAAGAAAGTATAAAGATAGACCAAGTCCTCTTGGGCTTAATGGGAAGACTCATATGGCTGAAGAAACTGGTTTACAACTCATTTGTAGAAGAATCCCGATTACAGCTCCATTTGGTATTAGCATACACTCAAAAGAAACACGAAAATCGGTCTGTAATTCAGGTTCTTCTTATTACACAGAGACTTGTCATTACACTCGTTATTTGCCACATACAAATTCTTTGGAGAACAGATTGAAGCAGAAGTTGAAAATGGAGGGTTTGGATATCTCAATGGATTGTGTCAAACTATTGAATAATGGGCTTGATTCTTATCTGAAAAGTGTTATAAAACCAAATCTGGAGTTAGCTCACTCAAGGTCTTTACACAAACAAGAAATATCCATGCTAGATTTTCGGGTGACATCAGAGGTCAACCCCAAGATTCTTGGAGAAAATTGGCGTATAAAACTTGAGAAGATTGGCCTATAACAGTAGGAAACAACAAAAGTTTTGGGAAAGAAAAAAAAAAAAAAAAAGTAAAAACCCATTAGTTTGTATATACATATCAGTGATGATTCTTGCTGTCTAATGAAGTATAATCTCATGAACACTTTGTAAGAAGTCTGGCTACTTTAAATATTCTAGTGGCCCTTTTTCAGTTATATGATTTTCATTTTAACTTTATTTTGTATAAATCAGAATTAACATGAATGAGATATTGACTCTCTTTTAATATGAAATAGTGAGAATTTATAGATTCACAATCACAAAATTGAAAACAAACCGGCAAATACATACTCAGAAGCGAAACTTTACAAAGGAATCACATCCAACACTTTGGAAGCTGTGCATTAATCTTTTGCTTTTTATTTAGCATTGAATAAAAATCATATAATTATAATTAGCTTTGTGATACTAATTAAAATTAATATCTCAATTAAACGCAGAACAATCTCGCCTGATATTCCCACTTCGACCCGTTTTAACACCAACCCGACCCAATTTACCCATAGCCGCAACAAACGCATCATTAAAAGCTTTTGAACTGGAAGCCCATGTGTTGACAGTCGATCTTGACCTCGAGTCACTAAAAAGAACTTGGTCAGAAGTAAAAAGCCCTTTTCCTTGTTGTAGATTCTTGTAATACACATTATCAAAAGTTCTTGGTGTGTTTGGATCCATGTTTATGGCTATCCTCGGGTCAACATTTTTCGGGCACTGTTGTTGTAATTGGGTGGCATAACTCGGGCTTAGGGTCGGGTCAACGGGGTTCACCTTGCTGAAATTATATATCCTGTTTGAAAATTGGTCACAGTGTGAGAATCCAAGAGTGTGTGCACCCGAGAGGGCAATCATGTCATTTTGGGTTAGGCCTTTAGCGGAAAACATGGAATTGAGTTGATTTAAGTTCAAATTTGGTTTCGGAAGCTTCCCGGTTACACTAGCGGCGGTTGAACTCAACCCGTCTAATCTCCCGAGCTCCACCGGATAGGATGGCCCACCCGCCTGCAAATATTTATATAAGAGCATTATACGTTTTTAATTTATTATTATTCGAAATAACTACCGAAAATGTTATTTCTATTGAAAAACATAGATTTCTTTTTATTAACTGTTTATTTTGGTTTTGTCATTTTTACATTTAACTCAGTTTTTTCAAGGACATTTCGTTTAACTTTTTAATTATATTTAAATTTAAATTTAAATTTTTTGTTATGTTTTACTAATTAATCTGTTTATTTAAATATCCAAAATATTCCATTCATCAAATATTAAAATCATGGCGATTTTATTATATTTTTACTGTTTATTATTATATCCCGTATTTTATTCTATATTTAGTTATATAAATGATTAAATGTTAATGTCAAGTAATTTTTTTTCTGAAATACCATGTATTGAAATATGAAATGTGCTTAGAAAAGAAAAACTAAATAAATTTATTTCAGATAGATTATTTGATAAATCAGTTATTTTTTTCAAAAAAAATTATTGGAAAATTGTTTTTGATAATTGGTTTTTGTTAGATAAACTTTAATTTTTTAATATAAAGTTGCAGGAAATAAAATTATTAACTACTCACCAACGCTACAACATCACGGGTAGCCATGGTGAGAATATCAGCACAGGAGACCTTATTCCTACAACTTGGAACAGCATCAATGGCAGCTTTAGCTTTGATAACAGTATCAAACCCATCTCCGGCTAGTGACAAATTATCCGGGTGGTCTTTTTCTGCTTTGTTTGATCCACTAGATGCTATCATAACCGAAGCATCACATCCCTGTTTTACATTATAAAGATTTGAATCATCCATCTTCTGATTGATCATATATATGATATAATTAGAAATAGAATTAACAAACGTACCTGTACAAAGCAATCATGGAAGAACAATCGAAGAGTTCCAGGAATGGTGACAAAAGTCTGTTGAACTTTAGCCCTCACAGCGTTTCTAACGATAGTTTCAACATTTGGGCAGATGGTTGCGTAGTAATTCTGTTTCAGTTGTGCAGAAGCTAAGTTTGAGAAGATGAGAAGACATGAGAGAGATAGTATTTGAATAAGAATGACCCGACCCATGATTAGTGTGTAGTATGTGTATGTGTTTGAGCCTTTGAGGTGGTATATAGTAGTAGGAGTAAGGTTTATATATTAAATAAAGAAGGGTGTATAAGAGGCTAAGCCAGCTGTTTGGTTTGGATTTTTTTGATTTTCTGGGCAAAATAAATTGTTTGTTTCCTATATTGTTTTTGTTTATATATATAGAATCGTGTTACATTTAGATTCCAACATCCAAATGGTCAATTATAGTGTTCGATAAAATGTTAACATCTCATCTTTCAACTTAAATCCAGAAACATCGTCAAGTTGTTACATTAAAATTAGGGAAGAAGCGTATCTAAGTTGTGTGTGTTAGCACGTATGGTTTTATTCATCTATAATAATATAAGTTGAAGTTGATCATATTATAAGTGATACGATGTGATGGGTTGGTTGACGACGACTCTTGAATATGCTTTTATCTATTAATGGAGGGGAGAGAGGATCCAAAAAACTTTAAACGTGAAGGGCATATCTAAGGAATGTGCATGAAGAATAGTTTCTTTATTGTTTGGAGGATTGGAATTTGGGATTCCTTTGGTATGTCGTTTTGGAAACAGACATATGGCATCTATGATTGCCTAGTCAAGTCAACGCAGGTTTCATTCCGGCTTGCGTATGGCCGGCGATGTTTAGTTTATGACATAAAACTAAACACGATGTTTTTGAGAAGATCATTGATTATTGTAACACAATATATTATTTTGCAAAAATCTAGGTGCTATATTTACTCTTCGGTAAAAACTAGGCCACATACTATATCTCTCAAAGGGATAAGTACAAAAATATCGAAAATGGAGAGGTCTTAAAAGTGACTTCACCATCTTTTATATATTCACGACAAAATGATTATTTATCTAGTGAGAATATATTTTCCGAAATTCCAAATAAATGTAAAGTCACTTTATGATCATATAAGGAAAAAAGTTTTTTCACATGGTTTGTGAAATACTAGCTTTTTGCAACTTACTTATTCAAAAAGAAAATACAACAAAATTTTGAATTGTGGTTTAGCAATTTGTTTGAGAAAACAAAGAAAAAAAAGCCAAAAAAGATTTAAATCGGCTTTTTTTGGGGGAAATGTGCAGATTTTGGTTATATAAGGAGATGAGTCTCACTAGAAATCTCAAAAAAACATACTCATTCCCAACTTTTTCCTTAAAGTTATTTGTTTTCGACCAATGACATCAACACGTTTAATTTTATAATATAGTTTCCGAACGATCTTTGATAACCTCTGAATGAAAGCATTCATATGGTCATATTTGAATCGGTTAGCATTTAACATGTTTAATTTAGTCACTAAACGATCTTTAAACAAATCAAAAATCTCTAAACGGTTAACCTTATATATTTCTTGACCATTAAAAGGTTGGAATTATTTAACACTAAATAGTTTATTAATCTAAAAGTTGTGACATATATATTGGCTAATAAAATACTTTATTTATAAAATTCATATATATAATAATACAACATAATAGACGTTGAGATGTTAAAGTGATTAAGGCTTATGTCGATTTGAATATTCAACTTTCAAAAGTAGTTCAAATCATGATAGGTTGCAATTTTTACGTAGATAAATCGTTAATTTTGATGTTGGACAAACCATGATATGTTACATTAATTAAGTAGACAAATTGCTAAATTAATTTTGGACAAAGCATGATGGGTTACATTATTAAGTAGATAAATCGTTAATTTCAATGTTGGACAAACCATGATACTATGGAAATACTAAAGCTTTTCTTTCATGAAGATTTTAAGGTAAACCTAGCTATTTTCCGTTAATAAGTACTACAACATGTTTATAAGATCAATATAAATCCTTGAACTCTTTTTCGTTATATCTCACTAAGATGTGCTTTTAGGTTCTTTGTTATTAATCAAAGATTTCTACCAGCATACATGTCAAATTAGGTGTTTCATTATTCTATGATAGAATATATATGATCAAGAGTGTACTTGATAATGAAATGACACCAAATTCAATTTATTCCATGGAAAATGTCATTTTGATTTTGATAGGGTTGAATAATACATTTTGGCCCCAAATATCCAATTATAGTTTATTTAAAAATTAAAAATGTGAAAACAATATATTATTTATCTTATACAAAATCAGAACACTTAACAAGCATGTTTTATATAATATTTTTAATGTAATATCTCGTCGCCTACCATGCTATTTGTTACTTATTTTCGATTGAAAATATATTGTTCATAAACTAAGAGTCTAAGACAATGAATACGACGGGTTTGGTTTATTTTTCTTGTACATTTGTAGGATATATTATATTATGTAGATGTAGATATGAAAACAAAATATGTACGACAACTGATGACTAAATATTTAAATTTGAATCGCCTATTATGCTTAACAAAAAGATAACTAGTATTGGCAATTGTTTCACTTTTTATAGCTGGTTCAGGGTTCAACATATTACCTTTACGATGTGAGCTTCGTGGTTGATGAGTGAAATTTCATACAGTTGATTCAGGGTTCAAACATCGACACACTACAGATATTACTAATGTTTTACGATTGACCTCCTATGTGAGTCTTGTGATAGATTGACCTAAGCCGATTATATGGTGCAATCTACAACTTTTTTTTTTTACTTTTTTTAATTCCAACAAATTTATGGCAAGGGTGGGACGACATGGGTCATGTTTAAGAGTTCATACTTGATTAACTGGCGTAAATTCGTTTAAGGGAAAACATCATTGTTTGATTGTACACCGAGTGTTATGGTTGTGTTCTTGGCGTGGTGATCAACTTTCGCTATGAAGTATACAAGACAATTTTACAATCACCAAGATTGAGAATGGCGCATCGGTAACAGAAATAATGGGGTTAATGGTAATAGCAATGGCAGATCCAA